GCTTGTTAGTGAGAGTGCACCAGACATATATCGATATGTATGTCTGACGAGATGTTCTTGAATTGGCATGCTGCTTTGCTTAGATAAGGTTTAGAATTGGGTGCTCAATGGCCTGGAGGCATTAATCATGTTTGCGATCAGTATCACCAAGAGTACGGTTCTTCCGTCTACGCATCTCTTCTTGGCTTGTGGATTGGTTGAAAAGAGATAAAATAATAATTCAGAAGTACTTGTGTCCAAATGTCGTCATGAAAACAAGTTCTACCTCCGTAACTTATTCCGCAAGGCCCATCGAATCTAGCTGGTAGTCCCGCTGCCTATTTGTGTGTGTGTGTGTGTGAGTAAGTGTGCGCGCGCATGTATGAGTGTGTGTGTGTGTGTGTGTGCATGCGTGAGAAAGAGAGTGTGTGTGTGAGAGAGAGAGAATGTGTGTGTGTGTGTGTGTGAGATTTAGAGAATGTGTGTGTGTGTGTGTGTGTGTGTGTGTGGATGTGTGTGTGTGTGTGTGTGTGTATGTGTGTGTGTGTGTATGTGTGTGTGTGTGTGTGTCTCAAACTCTCTCTTCTACTCTCCCCCTGTCTCGGGGGGCGGCGTGGCCAAGCATTTGACAGCTGTACACCAGGCCAGGTGTGTGTGTGTGTGTGTGTGTGTGTGGATGTGTGTGTGTGTGTCTCAAACTCTCTCTTCTACTCTCCCCCTGTCTCGGGGGCGGCGTGGCTAAGCATTTGGCAGCTGTACACCAGGCCAGGTGTGTGTGTGTGTGATGTAGAGAATGAATGACATATGTGCGTGTGTGTGTGAGAGAGAGAGAGAGATTTAGAGAATGAGTGTGTGTGTGTGTGTGCGTGCGCGCACGTGTGAGTGTATGTGAGAAAAGGGAGAGAGTGTGGGTGTATGTGTGTGTAATGGTGTGGGCATGTGTGGTCCCCGGCTCTATTCTATGTCATTCACGCTGGAACTGCTGCTGCATAGCCCCAAGTCTGAAGACTTGGCAACTTCACGCCTGCACCTGACTCTTGCACTATAATACCCGTCGCCTATGATACCCCTCAGAATTTCCCACCTTGCTCCCCCTTATGTTCAGGCTGCCCGTTTAGGAGCCATCAGTTGCCTGACGATCGTAGTAATACGTGAAACTCAGAGTTGTGACAAAGCCTCCAATCTCTCTTGTAATACAGAAATACCTATATTCTGCCTGTGACTACTCACAGAGAAAGAGTGGTCACAACTGTACATTCTGCATGTAACTGTTCGCATGGAATTATAGTGGTCACAACTGTATTCTGTGACCGGTCATAGGGAATTATAGTTTCCACAACAAATCCTGCAGTACGAAGCACCCTGCGAGCAGTCACGAACTGTGTACTTTACACATGTACATGTATGGTGATTTGTGACTGGTCATGGGGCATTGTGACTGGTAAACTAATTTGTGACTGGTCATGGGGGGTTTGTGACTGTTTGACTGGTCACGGGGACCGTGATTGGTCACGGGGCCTTGACTGGTCACTGAGTCCTACATATATTCTAGTGATTGTTTAGTGTTGGTCATTATGCTGTCTGATGAAGTGTTTTGACACGAAACTCGGAGTTACAGCGGAATGAGACTTGTTTGATTCATTGCTGTGTAATATTTGTAAGAACATGTATGTGGAGGATTCCCTTAAGGACATGCTGTTTGTGTCTCGCGCTATACTGGACCAGTGACTGTCGGGTCGGCTATCCTTTCCCGCGTGAGTGAACAAAGACCACACTACCACTGTGACCTGTATCTTTCTGTTGTGTGTGGGTGTGTCTGCGGTGGACGCAGAGGCCAGCCAGATGGCAAAAAATAATCATGCATCTATGAAGCGCCAGGCGCAAACTGATGGTAATGGTGGGGAGAAGGCAAGATCTGTTGCAAAATACGATTTCCAGTCTAGAAAGCTAGTTTGGGTAGGCTTGTATGTACCTCCACATTTCCAACTGTGTGCTTCCCGCCAAATTAATCAAACCTAAGTGTAATGGGTGGCCGAGTGGTAGGCGCGGTGAAATCAACAAGAATTACTTTTATTCTACTTCTTTCAGGTACACACCTGAGATATAATTATTAGTGAAAGAAGAAACGGCAAAATAACTGACTTTCTCTCCGGTGCACACCTGGAGGTTGAATAGCTCGTTATTATCAAAATCTCATCTTCATCAAAACAGAAATGCGCAGCCGCTTTTATGCAGCAGACGCCGTACGCTTACATACGAAGATACACTAAATATACATCAGGCAAAGCGCCGTATTAGTTCCGTACTACTTCCGTATTGGTCCGGCAGGGATACTACACCCTCCCTTCCTACAGATAATCACGCCCTCGTGAGTTTCAAAAAATTAGTGAAGAGTTATGAACACAGCGTCAACCGGAAGATGGCAAATTATATCGGAAATGATAACGTTTAGAGTAGACAGAAGAAATGAACTGATAACAAACCATAACATAGAAGTAAAAGCACACCAGGTTCACACGATCTCACGGGGTCAAAAGGGGAAAGAACTGTCTTCCAAATAGGACCTGAAAAACTACAGCACTCTTGCTGCACAACGCTGGCACAACCCGCCAGTAACATCGCTGTTCAAAAACCGAACTGAATACACTATAACTATAAGGGGCGTTGTCACACATATTGTCCCACGTTAGCTGGGTAAGCCGTGGCTCACCATGATCAGACGCCTACCAAACTAAACTGGATTCACACACTCGCATAAAGGAAGACTGAAAAGAACAGGGAGACTGAAGGAAGACAGGAAAGAAAATGGCATACCTGGAATCAGCGTTAGTAACCACGGCGGCGGCTGGAGCTATGGCGGAGGGCAAGCCAGGTTTTATCTTCATCTTGGTTGAGCCGGTCACTCAGAGCGGCTAGCTCGGCGTCAGACAAATGACCTGATTGACCTCCCTCCTCGTCTTGAATCGTGGTCTTCACATTGTCGATAGCATCGCTTTGCGCGACGTAAAGGGTGATGGTCTAGCCAGGAAGAGTGTTGACGAAAATCTGCATCCCACCACGGAGGCGAAGTACCAAGTGAAGAGTGGGCTCCTGCTTCCGACTGCGTGCCGGCGAAAATCAAACGCTGCTGGTCTTGGGGAATACCCTCCTTGTCTTGGGTACCAGCCTGCCTGTTGTCGTCCTCATCAGCTTCGCCATCACCACCGGTAGTGTACATGTAGGTAGCGGGTCGCTTGGAATCGCCATCGGAGTCTCCAGTGTGTGCCGTGGGGAGAGAAGGGTTATCCACGCTAGCACCCTGACTGAGCTGCAGGCTAATAAGCAGTGCCAGGCCGAGGAAGGCAAGAAACATGATTCTCATCTTGATTCATCGCACGGAGCTGTAGCGGGTTGAGCCATCGGAGTCTGGGGTCGAATCACGTTGTTTTATTTAAAACTACACCGCTGCCACCAATGTAATGGGTGCCCGAGTGGTAGGCGCGGTGAAATCAACAAGAATTACTTTTATTCCACTTCTTTCAGGTACACGCCTGAGATATAATTATTAGTGAAAGAAGAAACGGAAAAATAACTGACTTTCTCTCCGGTGCACACCTGGAGGTTGAATAGTTCGTTATTATCAAAATCTCATCTTCATCAAAACAGAAATGCGCAGCCGCTTTTATGCAGCAGACGCCGTACGCTTACATACGGAGATACACTAAATATACATCAGGCAAAGCGCCGTATTAGTTCCGTACAACTTCCGTATTGGTCGGGCAGGGATACTACACTAAGTACAGCTGCAGTGGTGGCTTCTTCTACAATCCCCTGTGTGTTTTGGGTTTCCATGGTCATATTGTTTTGGTGGATGACTATAACATTAGTACTGTTTATATAGGTGTTTTCGTTTCACAGCTCTTGTGGCCTGTGTCGGGATAATTATGTTGCTCTCGTGCTATTTATTTTCCTCCTTTTTCTGGGAGACGTGTGTAGCCAAATCTTCTATCTTCGCACTTAACTGGACCAATGGCACACAGTTTTTAGGCCGTACGGAAGCAACAGTTGATGTGGTCGAATGAAGCTAAATGCCTGATTGCAAGTGCACATCGAATATTGCTTGCGTTCGGCTAGTGTGTGTAACCGCCAACCAGCCGTGTGTAAACTGCTACCCTGAGCTCAATTCTCCCAGTCTGGGACTAAACCAACTCAACATTCATTCCCGGGACGTTGCTTTCTTCCCATACGCTTCTTATCGCCACCCAACGTTGCATATCAGTGCAGACGGTGTGATACATTGATTGCTACTAACTGAAAATCAAGATGCGGATAGCGAGGAGATGAACAATGACCGCGACAGTAGTGAGAATACCTCTGCAGGGCCTCAGTGGGAAAACGAAAGCCGAACTTGGGGGAGGAGACCAGCTCCTCATTTACAAGCAGCTTGTCCCGTCGGTATTCAAAAGACGTTAATTGAGTCGGGCGCGAGCAATGGTTCACAAAGCTTTAAACCTCTGAGACCCCAACGGAGAAATTCGATCATTTGGTATACAGTGACACTAAACAAAATATACTTCGTATCTCTGACGGTCCTTCCCAGATTTACATAAACATGCTACCGTGGTGAGGCTCGAAGAAAGAACTTTCGATATTTCCTTTAATCAACTACAAGTACACACGCCACTTTATTGAGGCGAAAGGATCTGCTAATTCAAAGAGTTGGATATACTCTCCCATTAGAAATACCCGTCAACCGTCCACGGGTCATCATCTTCTAACCGGATTCAAACCTCCAAATCATGATCACAGTATGATGCTTGGTTCACCCCCTGCTAACACACGCTATGGTTTCAGCGCAATTTATTACATAGGCACTGACCGGTCGAATGCACTGCCACCTGCTTACCGCCTTTCTAATTCACCTGCTGGATTTCGAACATCCGTTAAAACTTTCTTTGTGTTCCCTGTAAAAAGGTGATGACGCCTGTTTGAAATTCCCCCGTAAAATAAGATAAGAATAAAATAATAAAGTAATGACTTACCTGGAGGCAAAGTGGTGATGCGAATGGATATGGACTGATCACTATCTCCGTATTCATTGCTAATATACGTACTGATGATGTAGGTTGTGTTTATAGTCAAACCTGTTAAGGTGACTCTATTAGAAACGCTGCATGCTGACACCGACGGCAGATTCCCATTCTGATCAATAGCTGGTTTTCCGTACGCACAGTACTGAAGTATGGGAAGGCTGCCTACTTCTATCGGACTTAGCAGCACGGTGATCGCAGAACTGAAGATGCTCATTTCCAGAGGCGGTTTTGGTGCTGAAAGTGGACAAAAACATAACACGTATGGTATCCCAGGAAAAATCGACATGTGACACACAGTTTTGTTAGCTCATTGGATTATGTTTTTATTGCTTTTCACGCGACAAGAGTGTTTAGGGTAAAGATGAGTTTTTAAGGTATTATGCTCTGATTGTAGTCCTGTCCAGCTATAATATAATCACAGATGGAAATTGCTCCACAAATGAATCAATGGAGATGCGTTTTGTGTGTGATGACGAGCCAAAAGTGTTGTTAGGTTCACAATTCGAATGTGTCTTTCTCCCTATCAGTCTAGAGCAGGTAAGCACCCCTTCATGTGCGCCGCACTCTATAATATAGGGTAGGGGAAATAAATGGCCCAGAATCTGCGAAAACCAGGCTTAGGGTGAAATTCCACAAAATGACCTTTTCCCATTTTCAGCTTCTACTGGGCATGGGGGGTCAGGAAACAAAATATTACAGGTGTGGGTCGACTCATAGTGGTATTAAAAGCATCTCAAACACACCAGGGTATTATGTTAAAAAATCCAAAAAAAAACACAAAATTGTTATCACAGGAAAGAAATGAAGAGAGATCCACCAGACTGAAGGAAGAGACATGAATGATTTTTTGTTTAGGTGATATGACAAGGTAGGCATGTGGAGGCAGGCTTGTTGTGGCCCCTTGGTGCTGCAGGCTGTAGTGGCCATGCACAGTTCTGCATGAATTTCGTTTGCTCCTCACTCAGCACATTCTGGGGCTGAATACATGTACTGGCATGCTCTGCCGCAACACACCACAAGGAAACCCGACTCCAGTTGAGATGGCACCTTTTGAAGGGTGAATCTAGTACAACTGTTCAGAAACAAGCAAGAACACAGCCTTTCAACGTGTCCCACTTTTCATAGTAAGCGCATAGTGTGCTGGCGTGCTGCAGTATCTGCTTGGTGCTGACCAGCAAGTGAAATATCAGCACGCCGTACAATCCCTTGCAGCTAGCTGTCCAGCGAGGAAAGTCTCGAGTGGGGGCCTCTCGATCTGCTCGCTCATTCCCCTGGCATTCAGTAACACTTCATCGCGCCAAGGACTTCAATTAAAAACCGTTTTCACACTGCGCTTCAAGCCATTTTCCTCGTGAATTTGCTGCAAACGTATGAGCTCCGCTGCGCGCGTTCTCTTTGCGTGAGGCCCAAAAACAGCTAGTATCTCTGTACTTCGATTGGCTGGATCGATGTCGTCCAGGTTCTCCTCGCTATCGCCATCACGACTCTAACTGGAGACGATTTTTCACCATATTCCGCAAGCAGCAGCTAGCGCAGAAATTTCGCCATCCCTGAGTGTAGGAAATGGAATCCGTTCGATCAGCTCACAAACTCTTCGTTGTGACTAGAGGAGCAGCAGGGAATACTCTACCGGAAGCCCTTTGACTTCCCTGACTGCTGAAACCCTTCCTGCCATGACTGCTTCTTCTTCAAACAAGCGAGATTCTCTTTGGTTCCAGTTCACTGCACTCGATCGTCCACGCGACACAACCTTTTTACAAAACATCATTTTTCTCAAAAAAATGATTTTCACCCTAAGCCTGGTTTTCGCAGATTCTGGGCCATATATTATATATTGCACCTATTGCAGAGATTTGACGACAAGTAAATTTTAGTGGATCCACGAGCTATGATGTTGTCACATTGGTGTAATCCGCGAATATTTTAAGTGTGAAGTCAGTCAGCAGAAAGAGCAAGATTCAACGTTTAGAGCAGCAACTCTATTATTCACTGATCTTGGAGTGTATAATAAAATGATTATGCAACAGGAGAAATGTGTCAGCCTTTACGGTAAAAAGCCTGTACTGAATTCTATAGGTGTTTCTCTCTATCTTCCAGGCTGTCCCAGTTCTCATCCACACTTCCTCTGACGTAACTCGCACCATCAATCTCCCATCATGTGAAAATGCTTACCAAACGCATGTGCACAGTATCGTTTGCATGATGATGTTGCATCATCAATGTTCATCTGTTGATTGTCTTGGCAGGGTGAAAGTCTCACGAAAAAGCTTCATTACGAAAACTAACGAAATAGAGTGAGAAATGAATGAATTGAGAAGAGAGGGTTATACTTCCAGATCATTTCATTACGATCCAGGACGTGAAAAAAATAGCATCGATAATAATTTCACGGTTCGTCTCACACTCGGCTAGATGCCGAATTTTTCGCATCGCTTTGAACGCCATCACCTTTCAAAATATAAATAGACATTCATAATTACATTTTATGGTCAAAAAGGAGAAGGACAACATGTTACGAGTTATGATTAACTTTCTATCAATGTACCCAGATCTTATACGCTCAAAAAGTGCGACAAAATGGCAAAAAAAACTAACAAGATTGGGTGGTCTGTTGCTTTGCATCGTCGAGTTGTAGTGAGGCCGGTATGTCCAATAGTCGTACTAGTTTCGTCATCATCCAGTAACCTTTTTTCGGCATTGATTGTTGCCGTGATGCGTAGCTCGTGCTCTTCTTCGTTGCGCTTTACTTCCCCTCTTGGACCTTCCGAGCCTTCCAAGTTGGAAGGACGTTGGTTTGCGCCTTGGAGAAGTGTTGGAGCTAGGTGTCAGGTCACCGAATGTCTCAGTGCTCCTGGTCTGACTGTATAAGATCTGGTTACGTTGTTGGACAGTTAGTCATAACTAGTAACATTTTGTCCTTCTCCTTTTTCACCATAATTTAAGTTGGCTCACAATCCGAGTTCAATTACATTGATGGCAATAATTTAATTCCAATAAATAGAGTAAGCTGCACACTCAGTACAGACACCATTAACAAAACTTGTTTTAATGTATAAAAGCCTGTTCCTTGAACGTTTTCGTGGCCATTTCTTCAGAAGGATTACTGTCTAATCCAAATGAATTCAAAACTTATTATATATACGCACAATGCAAGTAGTAACTTAGATCCTGTTTAGAGCGAGCACTTTGAGCTGTAAGAAAATTGTACCAGTTAACTATATCAGGTGAAAACACATGAGATTAATATTATTAGCAACCGGAAAGTAACCATTTTCAAATGGTTAACGGTACTATTCGCCCAATACAATGTAACCATGCAATCAAAAAAGAAGTGAGAACTGTGGATCTAAATTCACAAACAAATTCAATGTAAACAAATTCTTTTCGTTTTGATAATGGTTTTTGCACTGAGCGCTCAGCTCACTCTATTTATTGTCTTAATTACATGTTTATGTCCATGTAAGCTTACATTTGTAGGGAGGAAAAGGGACCAAGACACTACATGTCACGCTTTATTCGATCCGAGTCAATAATTACATTAGTCAGCCAAACGTATTTTAGAGAGAATGAACCCATGATTTAGTTTTTCAATGAAGCATCTTTTGTGAACATCAGCCCAAAGGAATTGGCATGCTTACGTTCACTTCCGTGATGATACAAACATTCCAGTCAATGTGATTGGATGATTAACGCAGTCCACTTTCATCTCCTTCTAGTAACTTTAAAAACTGAATAGACAAGTCACCTTTTATAGTAATACGTTTCTGATTTTTGTTTTGTATCTCTTACCTTTTGGCAATGTTCCAATGTAGACTTCTGGAGACACACTGCTGTGTATTCCGATCGTAGTGTTGTAAAATGCTCGGACTCGGTATAACGTGTTGGAACTTAGTTTTCCGAAAACCGTGGATACATTTGTGTCACAGACTGAAGTCGTGAAATTTGTGCTGTTTTTCCCGTACGCAAAGCAGAATCCAGTTATCCACTCCCGAAGTATGTGTGGCTGCAATATCCTTGCCGAGATCTCAGTTTCCGTGGAGTTGACAGTAATATTGGAAGGCGCTACATGGGAAAGAACATAACGTGTAACTTTGGAACGGTCAATGTACCAAGCAAAGCGTTTCAATTGGAAGTATAAACTGTAGTGTCTTCCACCACTGTTGTCGTTCACGCTTTTCAAATTCATGCTGCGATGAAATGTTTCACCACTGTTGTCATTAAGTTTACAATCTTGGTTTTCGGCGATATAAACCATTATCCAGAGTTACGGAGTACCCATAGGTAGTGTTTTCTGATGATCGCTTAGTGCATTAAACTCGTGAGTAAAACACTTTTTGCATCATCTTATTACTGTTTGATTGCGGAACATACTAGAAGTTAGAGGACTGACGGCTGTGTTCAAGAAAAATCTAGAGGGCATGACGAAATGTGTGGAGTTTTAAATCCTAAACCGAATTCATGAAATCCAACAGCATTAGAGTTTGGAACCAGCAGACTACCGGTTTGAAGAGAGAGTTGAAGAACGAACAAACGAGCGTTTGGTAACGAGCAGGAACAAATCTCTTCCGTCTCCGATAGTTCTGTGAGGCTATTTTGGTGCAGCTCACCTATAACAAACATCATGCCTAGAAGTCTAGGACACGTTCTATCCCACAACCCCGTTCTCTTATCATCAACAATTCTCCATCCACCAAGGTTTATCCTGTTGAGAGTAATCCTGGAGTGGTTGTGCTCACATTAAGAACAAGTCAAGCAGGCAGGATCCTGGTAACTATCGCCCTTAATCTCTGCTGAATACCAACTCCACGATCCTTGATCGTATAGTAACTATAGAATCGGCTGTACCATCATTTCGCACCACTGCTCAATTATTCCCACAAAGCAGAATCCAGATATCCATGCCTGAAGTATCTGTGGCTGCACTAAACGTGCGACGATCTCAGATTCGGAAATTTGGGAAATGGACAAAGTGGAATTAGAAATTGGAATCAAGATACATGAAGTTTGAAGATTGAGGTGATCTAAGGTTAGGAACCAAAGAGAGTTTCATTGTCAAACATAACGAGAGAGGACATTACAATAGTAAATATTTTATTTATTACTTTGATTTCTTTGTCCAGCACCACTTTACATACGTACCATGTCGCTTCAGCTGATCCTGGTTATATATATATTATGTTTACTTATCTGAACTGTGTTTAAGTCATTATGGTGGCACCAATATCCATTCATCTTCATACTGGGTATGATTGATAAACACACGGTGAGCACCATAGAGGTGATACGGTTGTAGTGGTCGCTGTAAATGTCACGGGCCGAGTTACATATTGGATTGGCTAAAGTGGATTTCCCTTTCGAAACTTCTTTATTGCCAATTGCCCATAGTATAATTTTGAATTGTTTTCTTCTTTACACAGTGAATGCATACGATACTATAGTATTGTAGGTCCATGAAAGAGCGGAGTGTTGAAAGTCGGCATGTATTTCTTAAACCAGTATTTCTAACGCTGTACCGACAACTACACGCTAGTGAAGTCCAAGCTAGTATACCTTACCATTTGGTGTATATCTTTGACAGTAGAAACTTAGCTTCATTGTGCAAGAATCGATTCCGAAACCCTCTTCTTCAGGTGAATAATAACCACATTTTCGCTCTCCACTACCTCCTGTTGTTGAATTTCTCCATGGAATTGTACTCGGTATGGATGGAACAGGCAACACCCATGTCCATTTTTTAGATGGTCGTTGTAGAGCAACCCACACATTGCAAGTATTGGTTTCGCAGCCGGACGAGGCAGTCCTGCAGTTATCACCTGAGGAACTGTTGCATTGACCATTTCGTGGTCCAAGCACTGACCTTGCGCACTCTGTATGGTTTATGCTCTGGAGATTGGCCAGAATGCTGCCTCTACCTGCGCACTCGGTGGTGGCCTCATCAAATGTCTTAGGTGTTGAAATGTAAAGTATCTCCATGAGTCCAAGAGATTTGCTCATGGAGCACACGTACCAGTTATCTTCACAAAAACATAGATTGCATTCCGACACAGCCATGATGAAACATTTGCCATATATGTTGGACTCAGTATAGAGTCCATGCACTATATGATGTCCAGCACCCTATATAGAGTCCATTGGTCCAAAATCCACTATACAGAGTCCAGGAGTCCAGGAGTCCACTCAGTTTTGATCAGCTTCATCCTGCCGCGCAATCCCCTATAAGGAGTACACTTTTTCTACAAGTCCCCTATTAACGGTCTAGGAGTCCAGTTTATCCAGTCACGGTGTCCTGTGTACATGTGTGTGTGTAGTGTAGTGCTCGAAAGAGAACAAACACCTTTTCAGTTTTTCTTTCAGTCGCGGCAGCGCATTCCTTTCTTCCGGTGACTTCAGCCATGGCTGCCAGTTCTGCTGTGCAGTTACTGACAGTAATCTGTCTCGAGGTAACCAAGGAGGAAAAGGAGACGTTCAAATTCAAATCTAAGAAGCGTCTTGTGGTTCTGAAGACGTTTCATCAGTGCGCGAGAAAAGCAGACATTGGAGAACGAGAAAAGTTCAACACAGTTCAAATCTGACGAGTCAGGTACACTGACACTCCCTTTCGTTCGACGCCACAAGGATCCCCTGTTTGACTGGTCATGGCTACCAGTTCTGCTGTGCAGTTGCTGGCAATAAGACGTTTCATCAGTGCGCGGGATGAAAGCAGAAAGGGGAGAACGAGAAAAGTACAGCACACTTCCAATCTGACGAGTCAGATACACTGACACTCTCTTTCGTTCGACGCCACAAGGATACCCTGTTTGACTGGACAAGAGCTGCCTGTACCACCGTGTCAAAAGGCTGTCCAACTACATGGCAGGACGATGGCTGAGGTAAGGAAGCTTTTACTCGTTTCGATTGGTCTGCTGTTCTGTCGTTATGCTTGAATTTTTTCCATTTTCAAGGAGCGTATCGCGTCTGTTTGATGTTGCTTGAATGAATGCCCTAAAAGTTATCAACGACTTCGTAATAGTTGCGTTACAATAATAATTATCAGCCCTCAAGGAGTGCAAGGACTTTGCCTCAATCGTCTAGCTATCATCAAATTTATTTCATGAGAAATGTATTTTTATCCCTGTGATAATTATGTAAACTCCACGAAACTCTTCCTCTAGTATGATGTCAAATACAATGGGATCCACAAACGCAGTGCCAGTGCACTAGTAGTAATAGGAGGATTGCTTGTCTGCCAATGGCAAGAAAAAGCTTCTCAAGATAATACTCGTATTCCATGAAGTAACCGTTTTGATGTTACAAACATGACATTGTGTCAGTGAAATTGCCCCGCGACAACGAATTGCATTTCCACCTTTGGGAAGACTGTTTGACTGACGGTAACGCTGTACAGATTGTTTAAATCATCTCGTTTCAATTTAGTTGCGGTGAAGTGAAACACTGTGGAGTACACTACATGTATGTTGGTGAGTCTGTGCATCTTGAGTGTGCACAAACGATCTTATTCCTCGTATTACTAATAGATTATTGTCCCCACCGTCACCTGTTCACCGGTCTTTGAGTGGATGAATTTTCATTGAGCATCACATTCGGTGAGAACTTGGTAGTTGTGTGCTCCCATTTATCATTCAAATAAACGTATCCGTGTGCTATCTATTTGTTGCAGGTGTGCTGATCTTCAGAAGCTTGTGGAACTGAGTGCTGCTGAACATTTTCATGGCCATGAGCAATATTGAAGCTTGCTATTGCCCTCTCAGCATGTGCTAGTATTATGCTGACTACTGCACTATGTTACTCTCTTACACTAATACATGTATGTAAACGTGCGTGCACCCGTCCACGTATGCATGCGTTTCGTATAATTATTTATTATCCCTCTTTACTTGTAAATGGGTGGACGTTGGCATGGCTGTTGGAGTTGTGTGTGTATTGTGTCTCTCCTCCTTTCTTGGTGTTTTCTTGGCGTTGTATGAATTTGTGTGTGTGTGTGCGGGCGCCCTTGCGCGCACACACACACACACACTAATTTAAAAACAACAAATTAATCCTTGGCTCTCCATAATACTATCATAGCCTTTTCTCTTTCGGTTCTTGTTCTTAGTATTTTCTTGGCGTTGTGTGGGTGTGTCGGTCTGCACGTGCACAATAATTTGAGAACACGACATGATTGAGATATTGTTATTTGCAGCGAAGGGATCACTTGATTTGAGGATGGTGTCTGTACGGTTTTTCATGTAATGAAGTGGCTGCAGTGGAGCCTCAATACTTTTTTTATCTTGAGAAGTGAATGATATAAAGGTCTAAAGGGAGAGGTAGTTTTCTTATTCACTGCTTACAGCAGATCCTATGTCTAATTTTGAACTCTGGAGTGGGGATGCTTAATTTGCTGCACTTTATACAGGGAGTGTTGTCCACATAAAGACTCTTCATAGTTGATTTCGAAGTTTGGACTCTGTTCAGTGGATTTTGGACCAATGGACTCTATATGGGGGTGAAGCCAATTGGCTTGACTCTATACAGGGAGCGATCTCCATCTAAACTTTGAGCTCACAGTTGATTCCAAGTTTGGACTCTGTACAGTGGATTTTGGACCAATGGACTCCATATAGGGGTTGGACATCATATAGGGGCTGGACGCTCTACTGAGTCCAACATATACATGTATAGGAACATTTGAGCTACCTGAAATAGATTGCTCAATACACAAAATTCCACGCAGTTCAAAAGCCACAGGCAGGATAACTTGAGGAATGGGGTTGTTCAACTCTGAATTGAAGTCTCAAAAATTTGGGCGGTTACCATCAAAGATTTCAATTTTCAACTCACGTTTGTTTGTTTGCAAGTTTGGCTGGTGTGAATCGACTATTTTTGCGCGAATATTTTTCTCGGCTAACATTTCGGGCTGAGTGTTTGAAATCTACCGCAGCAGAGATTTTTTAAAGCTTAAGTGGCACAAATTGGGTAGGACGGTGAAACAGAAAATAGGAATTGATTGTTGACGGTAAGTGATTTAGAACTCAGACTCTGAAATTTAAACGCTCGGATAATTTGAAGGCGAATATCTTTGTTGTGTTGGATTGGGATTAGACAGTATCTGTAGGGGATTTGTTCAGTGGGGCTGTGTCATTATTTTAACGTGCACATTTATGTGAAAACTCCGCTCCATGGTGGTAAATAAAACCGTCGAATTCGTCGTGCAAGCAAAGGTCAGAGACTGAAAGGTGGATCATAGTTTCTCCCCTGCATGTCTACCGTATTATCTCTAATATATGCACGGTCCTTTATTTTTTCAATGTACCTCCGCCCCGTGCTATTAATGGAGACGTTGTTTTATTGGAGACTGTTCCTTTATTATTTCAACCTCATTTAAGAGGCATGTTGCCATTTCATGTCAGACACACACATTTCAGTTTTTTCGCCGGTACAGATAATGAATTTACACAGCGTGCTTAAAATGGAGACTGAGCACTTTATTTCTTGAATGCCGCCCCAAGGTGTTCTATCTTTGGATACGTGCTATTATTGGAGACTGTGCTTATATTCGAGGTAATAAGGTATGGTCAAAACGATAATTATATAAAAGCAACGAACGGTAACCCACTATTCAAGAAATTACGCAATTCTCAACCATTTGCATCATCCAGCATAAAACGGAGCATAAAGTTTTCTGTACGCGTTCCTGAACCAGCAGGAACGGCAACAATAACCTTGATCCTTGAACCACCAGTGCAATGGCATGGACAAGTCCATTAGAAAAACAACACCAACAAACTTGCATAGGCGCTTGGTTAGCAAAAGAAAACCAAACATTCACAGGAGCTTAGTTGGGCACAACTCAAGAGAGGGATTTGTTTTTATCCACTAGCTCTTAGAGATTGTTACCCTCTGACTCTCTGAGCCAGTGCAACTATTCCACAGTGGGGTATAATCGCGTAAGTCTGGTTCTCGCTTGCTTATCTAGGGAAGTATCACTCGGATAGATAATGGTTACAGCATCACATTAAAGATAAAAAGATCAACAACAACAACAACAAGAACTGCTTTCGCACCGCAAACACTGAGGCGTCACGTTATGAGACAATGGCGTATTCAATTATCACAAAGAAACATCCTGGGCGTGACTGTTACACCACTCATAACGGTGTAGTAGTAGTACACAAAGGCACACAATGAAAACCTAGGCAAATTAATTCCGTTGCGACTCAGAGTTTCATGGCTGACTCAATCATCAGACAACGATAATGGAATAGGAGACAGCGCTGGTATATCTAAGTGGAGATAATACGATAGCGAGAGGAGTAATCACGTGAATGTGTACAGGGAAGGGCTATTTCAGAGGCAGATGCAGTAGGCGCAGGTCTAGCACTAACAAGTACGCGCTTAATCTCGCTCTCACACCACACACACACATACTAACACGCACACACATAGTAACACCCACACACACACATACATACACCCACCCACAACACCCCTAGTAGTATTAGTAGAATTTATTATTTGACTAGGGAACTCCCAAAAGGCGTTGCCTTTTTACTGGGTACCCTAGGAATGACTTGGTGCTTGTGACAAATGCAGAAAGGGGCTTAGCTTGACGACATCCAGGTGGAAGCATGTTCTACTTGTCTGCTGCCAAAAATGAAATAGCATTCAGGCCTTATCGAGACTTAGCTCTGGGTAGGTTCAGAGCGGCTGAAGTTTGACCGCGGGTAGCAGCATTTGTGCTGCATGATGCAGTGCGGAGGGGTAAATAACTTGCTTAAAAGAGGACTGGTGCAACGAGATAGACACCTAAAAACAAACACAAACAGCTTCAAGTTTACACGGCGAGAGAAATTATACAGGTTATATTTGATGAGAATGAAATCGATAGAAGTATACTGATCATGGCCAAACACTCGCCTTAGGCACTTATTACTGGTTGACTCAAGTTTGTCTCGGAGTTTAGCAGACAAGCAGTGAACACAACATGTGCTGGCATAGTCCAAGGTACTCTGGAAAATTGTCAGGTAAAACATGCGGTGGCTGGTCATGGAGACATCGCGGCGCCCGTGGCGGAATGAGGTAATCTTGCACTGTGCCTTGGCGCACACTAGTTCAATCTGCTGCTCGAAGCTGAGCGACGAGTCCAATAGGAGGCCAAGGAACAGAAAATGGCTGGACTCGGAGATTACAGTGCATTTGCAGGTGATGCTGGGGATCACGTCCAGTTGCGCAGTAGATCGTCTGAGCAGCAGTAGCTAAGACGTTTTGGGATTCAGCACCAGTAACCAATTGCTGAGGAAGTCCTTCAGATTCAAGAGATCTGACTGCAGCATTCTGAGCACGGTAGAAGCCTTGCGACCAATGACGTAGAACGCGATGTCGTCCGCAAACAGGAGAGCACGGCAATGTTGAAATTTCTGAGGGGTACGGCGGATATAAATGCAGAAATGTAAGGTGCCTAACACAGAGCCTTGTGGTAAACCACGTGAGCAGGGCTCTGTACTGCCTCGGGCATCCCCGACAACGACCTGCTGGGTTCTCCCATTAAGGTAGTCTGCGAACCAACGCAATGCCACACCTCCGACGCCAACTGAAGCCAGTTCCTGCACGAGCTTGCTATGCTGAACGTGGTAGAAGGCCTTGCTCATGTCCACAAACAAGGCTTCACACAGCTGCTTCTTGTCCAAGGCCTACGGCCAATCGTTTATTGCATACGGCAAAAGGTCTTCACAGGTGTGATTGCGTCTGTAAGCAAACTGCTCCTCCAGTAGCGCACCGAGGTCCGGATGATTGTCGAAGAATGCCACAAGTTGTCGATGTACCACCTTTTCAAGCACTTTGGATATCACTGGCAAAAGTGACACCGGTCGGTAGTTGGAGCCAATTGTTGCGTCGCCAGCTTTGTAGAGTGGGCACACGTGTGCATGCTTAAAATCACTTTGAACTTGGCCTGTAGGTAGATACTTATTGATGATAGCGGTGAGTGGGCCAGCGATGTCTGTGCGGCATACTTTGAGGAGACATGATGGTATTTCATCGGAACCTTGTGCTTTGTGGCTGTACAATGACTTCAAGACATCTTCAACATACTCTACTGTGACTGGCGTAAACTCGTCGACAGTGGGAATGTCGCCTGGTGGGCTCGGTAGAACAAGTTCAGACGGTCTTGCAGGATCACAAACTACGGTTGCAAATGTGGCTGTAAGGTCGGATATAGTCGCCGTAGGTAAGGACTAAGGATTTGATTCTTCCCGTCCTGCAAGCTTGTTCAGGAATAGCCACTGGGCTCTGGGTTTGCGTTTGCGGGTGTTGAAGGCCTTCACGCAGTATTCTGTTTTGAATTTCTTATTCAAGAGGGTTCCCTCGCGCCGTGTTGCCCGGTACTGCTGGAGGAGGGGGCCGTCGGCTGGGTTCCTTCGTAATTTCCTGTGCAAGTTTATTCGAAGCTGAAGAAACTTCTTCAAGTGTGGCGTAACCCGTGGTTGCCGACGAGGCCTGCCAAGTCCAGACACCTTGAGCTGAGTGATAAGGGATTTTATTTCCAGAACATGTCTCAAACAATTGGAAAAAATGCTTCACTTGACCGTCCAGGCTGGTGGGCGACTCCCAAGTTCTGAAACTTGCACTGATTTCCTGGCCACATTGGTCGAAATCCATAGAATGGGGTGCAGGCTTCCGAATCCGCCTGTGAGTCTGCGCAGGAATGGGCTCAAGGTCTTGAAAGGCACATTGGACAATGATGAGATCGTGATCACTTACACCGTTCAGTGAGACTACGTCCGCCTTGACTACAGGGGAGCCGTCAGTAACCAGAGCAAGACCTAGGCAAGTGCGTGCTAAACGAGTGGGTTCAGTGATAACATTTCTGAGGTGATGTTCCGCACAGACACGCTGTAGATGGCGATATCCTGGAGTCGTTGGCTGGAGAACATCAGTAACGAAGTCGCCTAGGATTAATGCGTTCGGAGTTTGAAGGGCTAAGTCAAGTTCAGAGCTCAACTTGTCCCAGAAATCCACTGTGGCAGACGGCGGGCGATACAAGGTGGACACACTACTGTCTGTTGCACGTGGCTTGGTAGCAAGACGGAAACGCACTGTTAATATCTCTACAGTGGATCATGTAGATCGTTGGATCACGGTTCCAGCAAAGTGAGAATGAACATAAATGCAGACACCGCCACCATGTATAGTGCGAGCCAGCGAGCCAAGCGGTTCTACCCTCACTTCTATTCTTTTAATTAAGGCAGCGCTTCGGAGCTGTTGTGTGCCCTAGGAAAATTCAACGCTTACCTCCTTGAACAGGGCTGTTCTGAGTACAAACGAAATTTCCTGGATTGCCGCTTGATCCGCAATCATCGCGCCATTGACATGTTGAGCGTCCAAAACCTTGTTTGCTCGCTGGAACGCTCCGTCTGTAGAGATGCTCAATGTCAGCACCTCGTCACATGCGGATCCAGCTGCAATGGCAAGCAAGGAATTTCGTTTGTACTTAGAAAAGTCCTGTCTACGGAAGTATTAGTTAGCGTAGAAATTTTCGAGGGCACTCGACAGCTCCAGTGCGCTGACTGAAGAGGACTCAAGCGCAGCACCGAGTACTGCTACTTTTACCGTACATGTAAGTATCGAAAAGTGGTGATTATAAGTGGTGATTATAAGTGGTGATTATGAGGTAAGTGGTGAATTTTTGTGGTGAATATTGAGCAATATTCACCACTTATGAAGATGGTCAAATGGGGCAAGAACGACACTAGTGGAAGAACATAGAAGGGGTGAAGAGAGTGGGTGCGATAGTGAGAGCGTGAGAGAGAGAGAGAGAGTGAGAGCGAGCGAGAGAGAGAGAGGGAAAGCACAACGGCGCCAAACCGGGTACAGGTGGCCCCATGTTGACACACAACTCGTGGAACTGTTTTTATAGAATTTGGACAGGTAACACTTGTGCTCGTGTCGGCATTTCGATACCAACTACGACTTTTTGTCGATGTTCACCGTGTCTGCTTCTAGTGTCTCCAACTTCTCAGCAAAGTGGACAGCGTTCAAGTAGCCCGGGACCGTGATGATGGCGGACGACGGCCCATTTGACAGACCGTGGAGTGTTCTTTTGCTCGACCTTTCATATGCTCCTGGATAGTTTGGTGCTTTCTGCCATTTTCTCATGCCTTGTCTCGGTCGCGTGGTTGTTGTATCTCTGCTTAAAGAGTGTTTCCGCAAAGCCGAGGTTGTGGTTTCGCTGCTCTCTTCCTGTGTACTGTACTGTTGCCTTGTACACGATGCATCGTACTTGGAGGTCCCCGTCCAGTGAGCAGGTCCTTTTTTCGGCAGCTACATCGTTTGTCAGGGACGTTCTTGTCCTGTGTTTGTCTCTTCCGTTGAACATGGATATTATTGCACGAAAGATGCTGCAACAGTGAAGAAATTGTCTGCTCTGAACGTAGAAGCTCCTGCTTCCTGCGGACTGACTAGACACTTGACCGACTCACGACTGCGTCCGGAGCACACTACAAAACCATCGTGCTCTATACCCGGCTAACAATTCGGCGACCCTGGATGCAGACAAAATGGTCAATATCAACACAAGATCGGAGCTGGTTTCGAATTTTGGACACGAAAACAAATTTTACTTGTCTAAAATATTCACCATCAGTTACATGATTGGCTTTTAGACATGGCGCTACCTGTACCAGGTTTGGCGTCACGGTGCTTTCTCTCTCCCTCTTCATGCCTGATACAGTATGTCGTTGCGGTACTGTCGCAATCGCCCTCGATTACTCAGTGGCACTGCCCTGTTATCGCCTCTATTCTCATATTTATTCGTTAACTGTCATAAATAATTCAACTGCACTTTCCCATAGACACATCTACACTTCACACATACAGACTTTATTCCACACTAGCACAAAATAGCTAGACCCGCTTGTCGAGGATTCGATTGAAAATGCTGCTATCTGATGATTGCTGAAATGCGTGAAATGTAAAGTTACATCTGCACAGCCTTTCGCCTCTGTCGTGTGTTGAGTTCTCCACCTGGAGCAGCCTATATTGGCCTTTTTTGCACATGCATATAAGCATGAGTCAAGTGTCGAGCAGTCTTGTCTACTAAGGGTTTGCATTCATGAACATAATATTATATAGAGCGCTCTGATCTTACAAGCACCATCAGTTTAGACGCAAGTACAGTGAAGCTTTGCTTTCACGTGCGAGTGAAATGGTGAATTAAATTGCCACCTCGGTACATTCGGGAACTTACCATTCGCCAACACCGAAGAACACTATCCCGTGCCCTATTTCTCTTTCAAATACATTCAGGTATATCCGCGGTCTTCGTTTTTGGGAATTGTGGTTTACAGAGTAAATGGAATGTCCAATTTAATCAGAGGAGTGGCCCGTACCGATCTAGATCAATAGAGATATTCCTTCAGTTTAATCAATGGATATAGACCTACCTTTAGGCACATATCGTTGACAGAGGAACCAAATTTGAAAGTTGTTTATCCAGTTCACTAAGCCCTTGTTTGGATCCAAATACCCATAAGTATAACTAGAATTTTTAACCGGAAGTGTATACTCGGATGACCAGGGAAGTCTCGTCGTACGGGTGGACGATGCCACTTCCCATTTCCAAGCACTCCAATTTCCAGCTGTCCATGTACCAGTCAAGCCTACCCACACAGCGGAAGTTCCCTTCACTGCCAGGTTTGCACACGTCACCTGAGCCATTGTGTGCACAGTCGCTAGTGATCCGCCATATGATTGACATTCTGCTTTTGCTTCTGTCCACGTTTTCCGTTCATTATGAAAGGTCCAATCGACTTGCCATGTGCGAGCACTGGTTAGAGGACAGGCATCCCAGTTCACTACACAGAATAACAAATTATGCAGAAGCAAACACGAGTATATGTATATGGGAGCAGTGTAAATAGAAAAAGGAACGAAATGAAGATTGGAACAAGATCGGATGATGATGGTGGTGAGCGCAGGGGTGGAGAGGGAGGGTTCTGTTGATTGCGAACATTGTACAGATCCCGATACTTCGAAGTATTATTGTGGATCCCGGGAAGTATTTAAGAGAGCATGTCGGAGAAAACCAGAGCATATATGCAAATCGATCTCTCAGATTTCAACCAAATTTTGCAGGTAGGTTTGCTTTGGGGTGTAGATCGACATTCCAAAGCTCGCGCAAAATCTTTTGAAGGGAACCATGCCATTGGCATACCTCTCAATATTGGCCCAATATTGGCACGATTTATGGTTCTACAAACGTGCCACGGCCCAGCGTACAAGAACAAGCTACGAACAAAACTCCATCACGCCAACATAACCTCACCTTAGAAGAGTTCTTGGGGCAGCACCACTTAGCCACGCCAGCATCCAAGAAGACGAGGGCAATCATTCCTTGACGCCACAAATGATCGTCTTGAAAATAGCCAAATTACAAGCGCTGATAAAACAGCCAGCTTCGTCTTCAGTTAGCAAACACTATACACCTGTGGATAGTAAAACGCCTCTTCTAGTACTGAGGACATGTCCCCATCATCCTTTTTGGATTTTCTTGAAATAAACAATTTTGAATTGTTCCACTCGACCATTCTGAAATACCTCCCAACTCATACCTGCGCAGGAAAGCTCGCCCCTCCGAGACGTCTAGTCAGTAATTTATACTCCAACACCACTCCCAACGCTGAAGAACAAAGTGTATTGTTGACCCTCACAAGGAAAAGCAGCGGTGTTCACTTGTCACTCCAAACGACAAGCTTCTCCTTGCGCCACCAACATTTTTCGGTGCAACATGTTAACAGTTATGGAAAAGTGACTGAATTTTGCGTGTAGTTTTAGGATTTTACTGCAAGAGGAATGATAAAATCACGTGCTTCGTGACACAAGAATGCCAAGTCTCGTAGATCACGGTTCAGCAGTTGTTCCGAGTCACCATGGTCACCTTGATCAAGCGCACCTGCACTTACATCGATCACCCGTTGATCTAGATCGGATGAAGTGCATCTTAATGTCCAGCTCAAGAGAGCGCATGTCATGTTTTAGGCCTTTTAGCTGGGACTTTCACTCAACATGCAGCACACAGACTAGGACGAGTAGGGTCAAATCACGTTGTTCATGACGCGAGAAATCTGCCATGTGGGCCCGCCACATTCCCCATGCAACCAGTGCATACATGCAGGCCACGCGCTGGTCAACTCCAAGCGACCTTGATGGCATGGACAACGGTCAATCCTTGCTGTTGCAGATCTACGTGGATCATCAGGATGCAAACTAACCGTAGTACCTGTTGAACCATGTTCGGGATGAGCGAGGTAAGTGTGAAAAAATGAATCCCTGTTCTTTCGCCAAGAGGAAATATCTCAAAGAATTCTTGCCAATGCAATACTGCTAGTGCTATAACGATAGTTGCTGAATGTTCTGAGCAGAGCATGCAAGAAATATAATGCATCTTACCTCCTCCCTCATGGTCCGTTTCGAATAGCGCCTCGTGAACGATCGCGATCATGTGCATTGTGTCGCGCACCAGGAAACATTATTCTACGTCACGATGCACGTGATTTCTTCATTCCTCTTGAAGTAAAATCCAAAAACTACACGCAAAAATTCAGTAACTTTTGCATCAACTGTTCACCGAAAAATGTTGGTGGCGCAAGGAGAAGCTTGTCGTTTGGAGTGACAAGTGATCACCGTTACTCCTGTGCGCTGATACATAGGAGAAAAGAAACATGTGCATCCAAGAGGGAAGCACCGGCTTTGCCAGCGATAATGGGGAGAATTGGAGATTGGGATAGGACAAAACAATAGTAAAAGCAGTGCACCGTAGGAAGATGGAGTGAACTGATAATCGGATTTTAAGGCTGAGCGAAGGGGATCAAAGAGGGGTAGATGGTAGCTGGAGTGCGGTCAGTATAATTAGGCTGGTGTGTTGGCAGAGATCATAGCCTGTCTGTGGTCCACTCCCACTTGCTGCGCCGCAAGTGGTCGGTGACGTTTTTCTTGAACGTGTGCATAACTCTGCGAGAAGGGGGAGACTGCAGAAGGGTAGGTGGGCGCTGATTCCACGTTGCGAATAGAGAGTGGGGAAATGAGCGGAGCGTGTTGTTTCGTGCCTGACGAATACTGGTGAGTTGCGATGGATGATGTGTTGCTTATCTGGTTGTCTCACGAGCAGACATGCGGCATTGCGGCGCGGCTGCTGATGGTGGCAGAATGGCTTTCACCATTTCTGGACCCTCCACAAAGTGCAACTTGTACAGAAAGCAGAGCCCTGCTACGGTACGGCGAATGTCGAGGCTCGGGAGGTATGATCCATCTCCAATTATGTGCAGGGCACGGCGCTGGATGGCAGTGAGGCGGGCCAAGGTAGTGGGGGCTGCGCTCATCCACACCAGCATGCCATACTCTAATACAGGGCGGACAAAGCCACGGTACACGATTGCCCAGTGCTTTGGGTCTAGCACAGCCGATGCCTTACGGACGAAGCCGAGCCGCTGGGCTCCGCGTACTGCAAGCTGTCGGATATGGCTGCGGAATGCCAGCTGCCTGTCGAAGGTGACGCCAAGAAGCTTGAGCTCCTTGGAAGCGTATTGCGGTCGGGGGGGGGGGGGGGTGGTGGCTGATGGTCAATGCCTGCGACTTTGTGGGCTACAACTTGATCCTCCACCTGCTTCCCCATGCCGCCAGTGAGTCTACTGCCTACTGCCAGTACTGGAGAATTGATGTCTCTTCTGGCAGTCTGAGTCGGGTGGTGATGCACTTGTAGAGAGTTGTGTCGTCGGTGTATACAGCCAGAGTCGCCCCATCAGGCAGGTGGTCTTCTGCGTCGTTGACGTTTTTTTGTTTTTGTTTTTTTTCTACAAAATCCACATATCTCCAGACACTGGGGTGAATGATGGACTGTGGTGGTGGGGCCCATTAAGCTCCGCCGACCAGAGGTCTAGGCTTCATAGCTCCATGGACGCACCAAAGGGATATTGGGTGGGGAGGATTAAATTGAAAAAAAAACAGAAGAAAGCAAATGGAAAGATTGCATTGCTCAGTGAGCAAAAGAATAAGTTGAGTATTGAGGTGAACGCTGTTCGACTTTTAAATTCAAGAGGAGACTGCCCGTGAGCAGAGATTACATGTATGTCCAAGCAGGGTAGGACACTGTACCCTCTTATTCGCGTATGCTATGAGTGGCCCAGTGCCAGTTCGTTCTGAGGAGATGGTGATAAGCTGCTGTCTTGAACTTTTGGATGTTCTTTGGGTGAAATGAGTGGGGAATGATAGAGGTAGGCAGCTGGTTCCAAATTGGGATGACGGAGTGGGGAAAGGCTCGGCTCACATTGTTCCGGGAATTGGCAGGAAGAACATTCTGTAACTGATGGGGATTCGCGGTGGACAGTCGTACAGCCTGGCGGGTGAGGCGTGTGGTCCTGGGTTGGTGTGTCGGGGTGGAGCCATTCTCGAGAGAAGAGCGGGAGAATTATCGCAAAGGGCTTTATACAGGAGGCAGAGGGCAGCGATGGTGCGGCGAATTATGAGGCTAGGAAGCCAGCATTGCCGATGTATTGCCTTGATGGCTCGCTCCTGCACCCAGTCCAGCCGATTCAAATGGGAAGGAGCTGCCCCCATCCAGACGATTGGGCAGTACTCCATAACCGGCCGGACAAAGGCTTTGTAGGCTCGAAGCCGGGCAGGAATAGTCAGCAAGTGAAATGCCTTGCGCAAGGCTCCAAGTCTCTGCGTTGCTCGGACTACAACAGTTCGGATATGCTGGCTGAATTTTAGCTGATGGTCAAACGTGACGCCGAGTATTTTGATGGAGGGCTGCTCCTGGACAGGAGTTCCATTGAAGACAATGGGGGGTATTGGCCAGTCCCGACGTTGGTGGGAAATTGTAAGGGCCTGAGATTTGGCTGGCTCAAACTGCACTTTCCAATCCGAGCCCCAACTGGATACTAGGTCGACAGCAGCCTGGAGTACTCTAGCGTTGTCAGGAACAGCAGCGAGCGTTGCATGTTCGGCGTATAGGGTTGTGTCATCGGCGAATGAGGCAAGGTTGGAGCCGATTGGGAGGTGGTCTTCAAGGTCGTTGACGTAGACCAAGAATAAGGTGGGGCCCAGGATACTGCCCTGTGGTACTCCAGCCTTAACTGGGCGTCTGGCTGATGTCTGGCCGGAGATGAGGACTTGAAGTGTGCGGTTGCAGAGGTAGTCTTGGAGCCACCGATGCAGGTCTCCCGAGATGCCATACACTCTAGCCTTGTGCAACACACCAGTGTGAGACACCCGGTCAAATGCTCCAGCAATGTCGATGGCCAGCACTCGAGAAGCTCCTTTATCTCCGGCGGTGTGCACCCACTTGTGGTGGAGAGCAGTCAGCAGGTCTGCTGCACTGTGGCCGCGACGGAATCCAAATTGCCGTTTTGACAGGACGTGATTCGTCTCCATGAAGTTGCTCATTGCCCTGTTGACTATGGTCTCCATGACCTTGGAGAGGATGCTCAGTAACGACACTGGTCGATAGTTTGATCGCGACGATTTACACTTGCGCTGGTGGACTGCAACTACGTTTGCAACCTTCCACTGTTGTGGCTGGATACCGGAGCGAAGACAGCATGTAAATAGTTTTAAAAACGGCCGTGCCAATTCTGCAGAGCACCGTACAGAAGGAAGAGGGTGGGGCCGAGGATGCTGCCCTGTGACACGCCAGATTGGATTCGGTGGGTCGGTGAAGACTGGCCACCTATGACGACACGGATGTGGCGGTCTTTCAGGTAACTCCGGAGCCAGGCAGGGAGGAGGCCACTTATG